CGACATGATCGTGTACCTTGAAAACCCAAGAGAATCTGTCAAAAACCTCCTTACACTGATAAAGGACTTTGGCAAAGTCTCAGGATATAAAATAAATGTGCAAAAGACAATCACATTTCTTTACACCAATAATAAACAAACAGAAACCCAAATAAAAACCACAATTCAATTCACAATAGCCACAAAAAAAATGAAATGCCTTGGCATCTTCCTAACCAGAAACGCGAAAGACGTTTACAATGAAAACTACAAAACACTGCTCAAAGAAATCAAAGATGACACAAACAAGCGGAAATATATCCCATGCTCATGGATTGGAAGAATCAACATTGTGAAGATGTCCATTTTACCTAAGACAATCTACAGATTTAATGCAATATCCATCAAATTGCCAGCAATATTCTTCTCAGACCTAGAAAAAACAACACAGGAATTCATATGGAAACACAAACGACCAAGAATAGCCAGAACAATCCTCAGCAAAAAAAACAAAGCAGGTGGTATCACATTACCAGTCTTCAAACTTTACTATAAAGCTACAATAATCAAAACAACTTGGTATTGGTACAGGAACAGGCATATAGACCAATGGAATAGAATTGAGATTCCAGAAGCAAGACCTCAATTTCTCAACCAACTTATCTTCGACAAAGCCTCCACCACCTACCATTGGGGAGAGGGGAACCTATTCAGTAAATGGTGCTGGGAAAACTGACTGACCACATGCAGAAGATTGAAACAGGACCCCTATCTATTCCCATACATAAAAATTAACTCTAAATGGATCAGAGACCTAAATGTAAAACCTCAAACCATAAGAACCTTAGAAAATGAAGGACATACCCTCATGGAAATTGGACTGGCATCCTATTCCTGAACAAAACCCAAAACTCACAGGTCATAAGAGATAAGATAGACAAGTGGGACCTTATTAAACTGACAAGGTTCTGCAAAGCCAAAGAAACCATCAAGAGAGCAGGGAGACAGCCTACAGGCTGGGAAAAAGTATTTGCCAACTCCAGGTCTGACAAAGGCTTAACATCTTGGATCTACAAGGAACTCAAACGTGCTGAAAAGAAAAAAACAAACAACCCCTTTATAAAATGGGCAAAAGATATGAACAGACACTTCTCAAAGGAAGACATACCAGCAGCCAACAGACACATGAAGAAATGTTCAACCTCACTAATCATCAGGGAGATGCAAATCAAAACCACACTGAGATACCACCTAACTCCAGTCAGAATGGCCATTATCAATAACTCAAAAAATAATAGTTGCTGGAGAGGGTGTGGCAAAAAGGGAACACTTCTACACTGTTGGTGGAAGTGCAAACTAGTGCAACCTCTGTGGAAAACAGTATGGCGATTCCTAAAAGCTCTAAATATTGACCTCCCGTATGACCTCGCAATCCCCCTACTGGGATTGTACCCTGAAGAACTCAAATCACTCTATAAAAAAGATACCTGCACACGTATGTTTATCGCAGCATTGTTCACAATAGCAAGAGCCTGGAAGTAACCATGCTGCCCATCAAAAGAGAACTGGATTAAAAAAATGTGGTACATATACATGATGGAATACTATGCAGTCATAAAAAAGAACAAAATCATGAATTTCACAGCAACCTGGATGAAACTAGAGTCTATAACACTGAGTGACCTCTCACAGAAACAAAGATCTGAGTATCACATGTTCTCACTCATATAGTGGACCTTGAACATCCAGCATAATACTATAAGAAAATGACTGACAGTGGTGGGAAACTAAGGTGGGGAGGGGAAGGGAGACGTGATTAATGGTAGTAAATAACTGTCTGGGGACGGGGAGACACCTCTTATCAACAAGGGTGCCTGAACGAAGCATATTTGTATACCTAACCCTTAACTGTACCCCACAATATCATAATAAAAAAATAATGACTTAAAAAAATAAATTAGCCGGGCTCGGTGGCTCAGCCTGTAATCCCGCACCTTTGGAAGTCTGAGGTGAGTGGATTGCCTGAGTCTGTGGGTTTGAGACCCACCTGGGCAGCGAGACCTCATCTCTACAATAAATAAAAAAATCAGTCGGGCGTGGTAGCGCATGCCTGTAAGACTCGGAAGGCTGGGGCGGAAGCATCACCGGAGCCCAGCAGGTCGAGGCTGCGGTGGCCGGGAGTGGCCACTGCACTCCAGTCTGGGCGACAGAGTGAGATTCCAACTCAAAATTAATTAATTAATTTTTAAAAAAAGAAAGAAAACATTTTTCTCACAAAACCTAGGTTTTTCCCAAAGTGATTATTCAGGTTAGTATAACTAGTAAACAAATATTCCATTACTGTCTTATTAAATTTTGTTCTGCCTTATAATACAGACTAATCTGTGTTAAGTCACCTTTGGTCCAGGTGGTGGAAAAAGAACAAGGAAACACAATTAGCGGTTATATGAACTATCACTGAGAAGAAAATTATGGAATCCTAGCAATGTTTTGTTTATATCCTCTGTTTTGCAACTTAGGCCTAACAGCTAAGAAAAAATTATTAACTCATCTCAAGGGTGAATAAATTTATTGATGCTTTAGGTAGTAAACGAGGAACTCATTTCAGCACAAAGGACTTGGAGTCAATGGGATATCATTTTTGTGATTCTCTCTTGGACTATTGTGATCCTGACCGGACCAAGGTAAGCAAAGTTCATTTGATAATGCATCAGACTCCAGCCTAGCAGATAACAAAACCTACCTATGGGTCAATGGCAGTTTTTTTCCTTTTAATTTCCTTTTAATGTCCTAACAGTGTTCTTATGTTTTTGATACTCAGTTTCCCAATAACTATTATTCCTGGTATCTACAAATATTCAAATAATTGAGTTAGGAAATAAAATTATTTTATAATGAACTCATTTATCATTTCCCCTAGTATTATCAGTGTCTGAAAGAATTAGAAGAGATGGAAAAACATATAAACTTAGAAAAAGTCTTGGAGGATTCAGATACTCCTTTAATGGAAATTACATTGGATCTGGAGTCCAGGTAACTCAAGACTATTGAAGTAATGCAATTTGTTGTCCTGCTTTACTAGTGTATTATTCAGTTCTTACTGAAAACCCTAACTGTAAGTGGGGGACATTTCTTCCATGTACATTGTTTTGACCAGACCTCATTAAAACTTCATTTGATTTATTCTTTTATTGAAGTATTATGAGCATTACTATGTACAGAATACTTAATTGTATGCAAAAGGGGTATCAAATATTTTCGTTTGCTGTTTTTGTTTCTCTCTTTTTAAAATAGACTTTATTTTTATTTTTTTAGAGTAGTTTTAGGATCCCAGCGAAGTTGAGTGGAAAGTACAGAGAGTACATATGTACCCGCTCTGACATGTGTACAACCTTCCACATTATCAGCATCTGTGACCAGAGTGGTGCATCAAGGACACGACATTATCACTCAAAGTCCACTGTATTCATTAGGGTACACTGGTGTCGTACATTCTATGGTTTGGGACAAATTTATAATGGCACATTTCCACTATTATAGTATCATACAGAGTATTATCACTGTAAGAATTCACCCTAAGAATCACCTGTTCATCCCTCCCTCTCTCCTAACCCCTGGCAGTCACTGATCTTTTTACTGTCTTCACAGTTTTGCATTTCCAGAATGTCATATGGTTGACATCATACAGTATGTAGACTTTTCAGATGGGCGTCTTTCACTTAGTGATATTTATTTACATTTCTTTCATGTCTTTTGATGGCTTAAGAACTCGTGCCTTTTTAGCACTGAATAGTATTCCATTTTCTGAATGCGCCATGGTTTACTTATCCACTCACTTACTAAAGGACATCTTGGTTGCTTCCAAGTTTTGGCAGTTATGAATAAAACTGCTGTAAATATGCATGTGCAGGTTTTTGTATAGGCATACATTTTGTACTCCTTTGGGTAGATACCAAGGAGCATGATTGCTAGATCATAAGGGTATTTTTAGTGGATTTTTTCCTTCAGCATTGGAGTAGATTGCTGTCTCTTTATTTTTAATTTTATTGAGGTAAGAACACTTCATATAAGATTTATCCTTTTAAGTTGTTAAGTGTACAATATTGTTGTTGACTCTTGGTACAGTGTAGAGTAGATATCTAGAGTGTATTCATCTTGCTTAACTGAAATATTGCCTGTTAATTAGAAACGCTTACTTCCCCCAACATTCCACTTTTTTTATTTTACAAATTTGACTATTTCAGATATTTAATGGAAAAATCATGCCATACTTGTCTTTCTGTAACTGGTGTATTTTACTTAGCATAATGTCTTTGTGGTTCATCCATGTGACCCATACTGCAATATTTCCTTGTTTTTAAAGTGCAGTACCCTTTCACTGTATGCACACAAGCACATTTCTTTATCCATTCACCTTTCAGTGGGTATTGAATGAATGCCACATCTTGGCTATTATTAACAGTACTGCAACAAACATGATGCAGTACTGCTAATATCTCTTCAAGATGTAGACTTTAATTCTTTTGGATAAATGTGGTGAAGTGGGATTGCTGGATCAGATGGTAATTCCATTTTTAGCTTTTTAAGGAACCTTCATACTGTTTTCAGTAGCAGCTGTACCATTTTGCATTCCCACCAACAGTGTACTAGGGTTTCAGTTTCTCCCCATCCTCCCCAACAGTTGTCTTTTGTTTTTTGATAATAGCCAACCTGACAGATGTGAGGTGATATCTCACTATGGTTTGTATTTGCATTTTCCTGATGTTTCCTGATGATTTGCATTTTCCTGATGAACACCTTTTCATGTACCTGTCGGTCATTTGTATGTCTTATTGTAGAAATATATATGCAAGTATTTCGCCCATTTTTAAACTGGGTTATTGGGATTTTTGCTAAGTTTAGGAGTTATATATTTTGGAGAATAATCCCTTATCAGATACATGGTTAACAAATATTTTCTCCCATTTCATAGGTTGCCTTTTTGCTCTATTAATTGTTTCCTTGGTTGTACAGCAGCTTTTTAGTGGTATAGTCCCACTTATTTATTTTTGTTTTTGTTGCCTGTGTTTTGGTGTCAAATAAATGAAATTATTGCTGAGATCAGTGCCATGGAACTTCACCCCTATGTTTGGGAATTTTTCAGTTTCAGGTCTTTTTTTTTTTGAGTTGGAGTCTCACTCTGTCACCCAGACTGGAGTGCAGTGGCCGCTCCCAGCCACCACAGCCTTGATCTGCTGAGCTCCAGCAATACTTCCGTCTCAGCCTTCCAAGTAGCTGGAACTACAGGTGCGCACTACCACACCTGGCTAATTTTTTGATTTATTGTAGAGATGAGGTCTCACCAACTTGCCCAGGCGGGTCTTGAACCCACGGGCTCAGGCAATCCACTCACCTCAGCCTCCCAAGAGTTTCAGGTCTTATATTTAAGTATTTAGTACATTTTGAGTTGGTTCTTCTGTATAGCATAATTGTCCAAGTTCATTCTTTTGCATGTGGCCATCCAGTTTCACATCATCATTTGTTGAAGAGATTATCCTTTGCCCATTGTGTATTCTTGACATCCCTATTGAAGATCAGCTGATCGTATACTTGTGATTTATTTTGAACCTGTATATTCTATCCCATTGTTCTATGTGTCTATTTTTCTGTCAGCATCATACTCTTTTGTGTGCTGTAGCTTTATAATATAAGTTGAAATCAAAGAAATTGATGACTCTAGCTTTGTTCTTTTTCAAGATTGATTTACCTATTAATGATCTGGGTTTCCATATGCATTCTAGAATTATTATTTTTATATTTCTATTAAAAATGACATTGGGTCTAGACACAGTGGCTCATACCTGTAATCCCAGCACTTTGGGAGGCCAAGGCCAAAGCATTGCCTGAGCCCAGGAGTTTGAGACCAGCCTGCGCAGCATGGCAAAAACTCGTCACTGCCATAAATTTAAAAAAAATTAGCTAGGCATGGTGACTTGTACCTGTGGTCCCAGCTACTTAGAAAGGTTGAGGCAGAAGGATCACCTGAACCCAGCAGGTTGAGGCTGCAGTAGCTGTGGTCATGCTAACTCCAGCCTGGGCAATAGAGTGAGACTGACTCTAAGCAAGTAAGTAAATAAATAAATAAATTTTCAGAGCTAATTATACCCAAGACAGCTAAGAAAGTCCCCAGACATGGAATATTTATTCACTTGTTAACAAATATTATTGAGTTCCTACTATGTGCCAGGTACTATTCTCTCTCTGATAGAGTAATGAGCCAGACAGAAAAAAGGTCTACTTTTCTGAAGCTTACATCTAATAAAAAATTCCCAAACGTTTACATCTCTCCACACATTCAGAAAAATATCTATTTCTTTTTCTTTTTTTTTTGAGTTGGAGTCTCACTCTGGCACCCAGACTGGAGTGCAGTATCCGCTCCTGGCCACCGCAGCCTCAACCTGCTGGGCTCTGGCGATCCTTCCACCTCAGCCTTCCAAGTAGCTGGAACTACAGGCACACGCTACCATGCCTGGGTCATTTTGCTTTATTGTCGAGATGAGGTCTCACCAATTGCCCAGGCGGGTCTCGAACCCATGGGCTCAGGCAATCCACTCACCTCAGCCTCCCAAAGGCGCAGGATTACAGACTGAGTCACCGAGCCCGGCTGAAAAATATCTATTTCTAACCTATGTGGAACTACCAAACATTGAAATCACCTTTTAAAACATTCTTCTTATAATTAGAACTTTTAAACCATTTCGATAGATGATAAAGTAAAAACAACAATTAGAATTTTAAAATGCCACCAAAACATTTTGTAATTTTTTTTTTTTTAGTTGTCAAGTTTCTGACAGTTCAGAATCCAATGACTCTCAGACTTATCTTCTCAAGTTGACTTCCCAGGTATGATTGAATATTTTTGTTTATAGTTTGAATATGCTAAGTAGGTACTCTTCTTATTGTGACCAACAATCATGCAGATGTGTAACTATTATATAGTAATAGTTGATATTTTATGATTGTCTACATACTCTTAAATCATAGAATTTAATAATCTTAGGGTTTTTTTAAATTCTAACACTCTTTCTTTTTCATTTATTTATTTTTTGAGTCAGTGCTTCACTCTGTTGCCCAGACCAGAGTGCAGTGGCACACTCACGGCCACCACAGCCTCGACCTGCTGGACTCAGGCAGTCCTTCTGTCTCAGCCTTCCAAGTAGCTTGAACTACAGGTGTGTACCACCATGACTGGCTATTTTTTAAAAAAATTTATTTATTGTAGAGACAAAGTCTTGCCATGTTGCCCAGGCTGGTCTCGAACCCCTGGGCTCAGGCAATCCTCTCACTTCGGCCTACCAAGGTTCTGGGATTATAGGCTTGGGGCACTGCGCCTACCCCTAACGCTCTTACTTTTTTAGGTGAGAACAATTAAGAGCCAGAGAGATTACATTACTTCTCAAAAGCTATACCACTCGTGATTGACTGAGGTGGCAGTCACACATATCTCCTGATTGCTAGCCATAATTATTTATTACTCTACTATGTATTGAGCTCCATCTATGTATCAGGCACTGTCTAAGTGCTAAGGGTAGAGCAGTGAACAAAATGAGACAAATGCTTTCACTTTGTTAGCTTGTATTCTGGTTGGGGGAGATATGCAATAAACAAGATAAATAAGTAAAATATATGAGATATTTGATTAGGGTGAGTGCCTGAGGAGGAAATTAAAGCAGGAGAAAGGGAAATAAGGGACTAGGTAGAGATTGCAGTTTTGGATAGGGGTTACCAAATTGAAAAGGTGGAACTTAAATAAGAACTTAAGGGAAGAGAGAGAGCCGACACTAGGTGTGTTAGCTGCTTTTTGCTACTCAACAAACAACTTCAAAACCTCAGTGGCTCACAACAAACTTTTACTTTCTCACTCATGGGTCCGCTCTACTAGACTTGAGTATGTCTGGTCTTGGCTTCAGGGTACAGATTTAGGTCAGTGATATTCCACATGTTTCTCATTTTCCTTGGACCAGACATTACCCAGACACTGATCCTATGGTAAACACAAAAAGTGTAACAGGAAAAACCAAGCAACATAAGTCTATTTAAAGTTACATTTCCTCCTGGCAACTATATGTCATATTACAACCAGACCTCATGGCATATTCACTAACATTCCATTAGCCGTAGTTCAGTCACATAGCCAGGCCTAACATCAATAGGATGGGGAAGTATACTCCATCTGTGGTAAGAGGTGCTACCAAGTGGTGTGGCCAAGACTGGAGGGGTTCAATCCAATTCCAGGGGAGTGAAGAATTAGAAACAACGATCCAATATTCCAGAGCCATCCTTCTGGGTTATGGTTATTCACCCTCCACCTGAATACACATGTACTAGTACTTATGCCCGCTCCAAAACTCCCTGAAAGTCTCATCCAGTCATGGCATCAGCCTTAAAATCTACATCATGATCCACTTCAGGTCTGGAGTCATCACCTTTTGATCCAGAAACCTGTGAAATAGCAAGGCAAGTTATCTTCCCCCCCCACACACATACACATATACACTTTATAATGGTGGAATAGAGGTAGGAAAATTATAATGAACACCCTCACTCAAAAAAAAGAAGAATGTAGCAATTACTGAGCCAAAACAGTTCTGAAGTTTTACTGTGCAGATGTATGAGACATACTCTCTTCTGGGGACTAGAGAGTGTTTCTTGATTAGACTCCAGTTATGCTTCCTGTAAATGACTCCCAGGTCATTTTTCTCTGTGGCTCCTGGCTCCATTCTTTGAAAGTTCTTTCCTTTCTGATTATCTCCCCTTGTCAGGTAAATGTTAATGTAAAAATTTTAATGGAAATATACTAGTTTGGTTTAATATCTTTAAAATAGATTGCAGTGAAGTCTGCCTCCCACCAACTAACCCAGCTTTCCAGCTCTGTTCTCTGGAGGCAACGCTGTGATTAGTTTTTTGTTTTTTGTTTTTTGTTTTTTTTTCTCCATGTCCTTCAGGAGAGAACCTCTGCAGATAGAAGCACATCTGTGATATAGTCTTGCCCCTACTTTTTAGAAAAATACACCTTTAATTTTTATATAATTTTAGGTTTATAGAAAAGTTGAAAAGATAGTGCAGTGTTCCTGTACACCCTTCACCATCTCCCTGGCCACTTTTCAAGACAGCTCTGAGCATATGCTTTTCTGGCAGCTGAACAACATTCTCAGCCTGCTTTCTACCTGCAGAAATTTGGAAGATCAAACAGTCCTTTTGCATTTTGCATAGTGACAGTGCTTTTAATTCAGGCTGACAATATTTTTGCCACTGCAGCTTTTGCAAAAACTATAGGTTTTATGTATATTTGATTCCAGTATGTGACCTTATAGGTCAAAAGCACACTCACAATTCTTTTTGAGATATGGATGGGTAGGTGGGTAGATCGATTATTCAAGCATTCTGTGATACTTAATCTTTCCAAGAGCCATTTTGCCCAACTTTAGGCTTAGATCCTACCTTAATAATGTCTAATGTTTTAACAAAGGATGTGTATTAATTTTGTGGGTTATGAATCTGAATTTTGCCACTTTTGCTGTATACCATTCATTAGAAGTGAGTCACTTTGTTCAGCCCACACTCCAGAGGGAAGGATTACACAAGGGCATGACACTAAGAAACATTACATGGATCTACAGAGGCCATCTTTGAGACTGCCTACCAGAGATGTAAAAGTCATAACCTTGATTTGACCTTTGCCTTAAGGTTCTATTGAAGTCAGTGTGCAAGTTCTAGAATTTTGGACGCTGTTTTTCCTCTCAATTCAACTCCTTTGACCAATTCTTTTTTGAGCTAATTTCTCTCTTCTAGTACTTTATCAAATGAAATTAGCAATGACCATCATACACTGCTAAATATTCTACCTCAAAACCTCTTTGTCTGATGACCCAAGTCTGTTAGGTAGATTTTTTTGTTCTTCAAACTATTGCTGAAGACAGTTTTACCAAATATTTCATTTCTACATAATTAGTGTCATCATTTTTCTTTCATTTATTTATTTTTAATCAGCAAGTAAAAGTTGCATATATTTATTATATATAGCATGCTGTTTTGAAATATGTATACATTGTAGAGTAGTTTGAGCTAAGTAACCTACGCATTATCTCACATACTTATTTTTTGTGGTGAGAACACTGAAAACATTTAATATCTACTTAGCAATTTTCAAGAATGCAATACATTTGTTGTTAACTGTAGTCACAACGATGTACAGTAGATCTCTTGAACTTATTCATACTATGTAACTGAAATTGTGTATCCTTTGACCAACAGCTCCTCAACCACACCATTCCCTCACATCCCAGCCCCTGATGAGTTCCATTCTATACTCTATTCCTATGAGTTCAACTTTTTAAAAAATTACACCCCATAAATGAGATCATGCTCTTTCTGTGCCTGGCTTACTTCACTAAACATAAGTTCCTCCAGGCTCACCTATGTTGTCCCAAATGACAGGATTTTCTTCTTTGTAAAGGCTGCATAGTATTCCACTGTGAATATGTGTCATGTTGTCTTTATCCTTTCATCTCTTGATGGACACTTAGGTTGATTCCATATCATAGCTATTGTGAATAATCTGCAACAAGCATGGGGTGTAGATGTCTCTTCTACATACTGGTTTCCTTTCCTTTAGATATAACCCAGTTGTGAGATTCCTGCATTATGTGGTAGCTCTTTTAAAAATTTTTTGAGGCACTTCATACTCTTCCATAATTTATATTCCCTCCAACATTGTGCAAGTAGTCCCTTCTCTTCCCATCCTCTCCAAAACTTATCTTCTATCTTTTTTTGGTATTGTTTCTAATGGGAATTTGGTAATTTTCTTATTACTGTTCTCTAGCATATAATTTCTGGAGTATTTTTTTCCTCTAGCTTTTTTTTTTGTAAGATGTAGGGTACAGTTCAGGATTGGGTACACAAGTGGCCATCATACAGATGAAATTTAGCCTCCCTTTGGTCCCCACTTCACCTGGTTTGAGATCAGCTACACTTATTGAAGTTATGTGTCTCCTCTCCCTCCCCTTGCAGTGTCCCACTGCTGCCAATCCCTTTCTTATGGTATTAGGAGTGAGAACATGTGGTACTCAGTTCTTTGTTTCTGTGATAGATCACTGAGTAATATAGACTCTAAATTCATCCAAGTTGTTGCACAGTTCATAATTTTGTTCTTCTTTATGACTGTGTAATATTCCATCATGTATATGTACCACATTTTTTATTAATCCAGTCCTTTTTCGATGGGCTGCATGGTTGGTTTCATTTTTTGCTATTGTGAATAGTGCTGCAATTAACATGCGTGTGCAGGCATTTTTTTTGTAGAATGATTTGAGTTCCTCTGGGTATTTTCCCAGAAGGGGGATTGCTGGGTTGTATGGAAGGTCAATTTTTAGATCTTTTAGAAATTGGCACATTGTTTTCCACAGAGGTTGTACTAGTTTACACTCCCAACAACAGTGTAAATGTGTTCCTTTTTCCCTGCATCCTCTCCAGGATCTGTTGCTTTTTGAGTTATTGATGATAGCCATCCTGAATGGAGTTAGGTGGTATCTCAGTGTGGTTTTAATTTGCATTTCTTTGATGATTAGTGAGGCTGAGTATTTTTTCATGTATCTTGTGGCTACTCGTATGTCTTCTTTTAAGAAGTGTCTATTCATATATTTTGCCCATTTTTTAATAGGGCTTTTTTTGTTTTGTTTTTGTTTTTCCTTTCGGCACATTTGAGTTCCTTGTAGATCCTGGAATTTAGGCCTTTGTTAGATATGTAGTTGGCAAATATTTTCTTTTTGTTTCACTGATTTTTTTTCTATGATATTTTTGTCTTCTATGTTCTGTATTTTGACTTTTACTTTGGTGATTTGGAT